CTTTATCGAATCACGAATCAAAACAAATTCAAATGGCATTTATTTGTATTTCATCAGCGCCAAAGGGCAAACGATCATACCATTGATGAAGTAATCAGAGCAAGGCCATCCTCGACCGGATGAGATTGAGATGGATTCTTCGTCGCCGATCGGATTCGCCAGCTTCTCAACGAGCTTGGCGATCCCATGAGACTGGGATCTAGGCGGTGGGACCCAATACGAAGCACCGGGAACGAAAGGGAGCCAATCCGGTGCGGATCGGCGTACCATTATCCGGTGAACGGCGTCCTCTAGCTTCTGGATGAGAGGATCCGATTGCGACTTCAACGCGGCGGTATCGATCTCGTAGAGCTCGCCGCCGCGGTTAGAGCGGCGATTCGAGGATTGTGATCGGAAGAAGATGGTTCGAGATGAAGGAAGAAGAGAAGCTGCGGCTAAGCGGCACCTAGAGAGAGAAAGTGACGGAGAGGATGATCGAGCCATAACAGAGATCGAGGGAAAGGGTGTGACTTCGGTTTTCGGTTCGACGAAATCAGGAGAAGACGAAGAAGATGGTTTGTTTTTTCTTAGCGGATAAGAGAAAAGAGCACTCACCTTATTTATCGGAATTACCTTTCTAAAAAAAAAAACCTTTTTAAAATTTAAAAAAGAAAAAAAAACTGAAAGTTACGTCGTCTTCTCTAAAAAAAGGCTGTTTTTTTACAATTGTAACGTATGCAATCATTTTTGTATGTAAAAGGGGACATGGAATACAAAAATTTATTTCCCATTCAGCGTAGAAATGTCTTGGTAAGCAATTAACTCTTGTTCTTTTACTTTATTAACTGCGAGTTTAGAGTACTACAATCTAAAATTGCATTATAAACTTAAAACATGGAAGCTTTTTGGTTATAATTTGGCATGTCTACGTCGAAACATAATGAAGATTTGTGTAGATATCTGTCGTCTCGTTTTATTGATTTCACTTATAAAAGTTTTGAAGCTTAATTTGGCCAATCCTGAGAGGATGTCGATATTTGCAGAACAACTTTAGAATCTCCCTCAAACAAAATTCCCAAAACAAAAGCTCCATTATTATAGTATGAGACTTGCTTTGACATAATAATAAGTATAAATTCGATTACATAATAATATATAAAAATTGGTATACAACATACATAAATATATTTTGCAACATTCTTATATATTCCTTCTGTTTCATAATAAGTGTCATTTGGAGAAAATATATATGTAATATATTTGGATGTATTAAACTCAAAACACATATAAATATATCCAGTTATAATATAGATATATCTTCTCCAAATAACACTTATTATGAAATAGAGGGAGTATTAGCTCTTCCACATCATTTATAGTGTTACTGTATATAAAATAGGCTACATTTATGAATAAATTATGTGATAAGAAAAGAACCCCCCACTTGTAATAACTACAGTTTACAGCCTTACTTTTAGAAAGTTATTACAAAACTCCCAAAACTCTTGGCTACAAAATTTTGACAGAGACGGCAACAAAATTTTGACAGTGTGTTCTTCTATTTTTCTTTCCTCAGTGTGGTTGTTCCAATTAAAAAAAAAAAAAAAAAAAGCTTTGGGAGAGAGAGAGAGAAAGAGTGAGAGAGAGATTGAGACAACGCACCAACTGTTGCGGCTCAAAGAGATCGAGATCGGGATCCACACGGCGGAGAGTGAGCTTAGGATATGGGATCTCGGCTACTCGAGTGTTGCTTCCGTTTCATCTTCTACTGTCACTCCCACAACTCCAACTATTTTTCCTGATAGTTTTCTTTTTCTCGCCGTCATAAAGGGAAGCTTTTTCGCGGAAACCTACACTCTCAGGTGGGATTCGATGCCGCTTTCTTCATCTTCTCAGATTGAATTTTTGTTCTTCTATGATCATTTACTCCATTTTGGGGATTTAGGTTTTGCTTGCGTTTTGGTACTGTTTCAATCTCTTTCGCGTTTTTTTCTTTTCTTCTGCGATTCGAGGATTTTCTTAGACATGGCGATCTGAGTCCGATTTCTACTCTATTGATTAGGAAACTTATGGTTTGATTTGAAATGGAACCTGCTTCTAAATCCCAGAGATCTTACTGGGTTTGAAATGTATAATTACTGATTTGGAAACTGTAATTAGGGTTTTCGTTTTTCTTCTTCTGGGTTTTGGAACACTGGATATACTCGAGTGATGATTGGTTCTCTGTGAAATTTATGGAGACTAATTAGAAAAGCTTTGTAGATCTATAGTGACATATCAGTATATCCTCAGTGATGGTAGATCTGTCAGATAAGCGTGGCGTTGGCCAGTGTTTCGCTTGGTGCAGTTCTTCATCTCACCATGTCTTCTTGTTCTTCTTCATTATATAACTACAGTTAGGTCTATAAATGCAAACCACTTCTCTAACTATCGTTGCCTATTTTGCTCCTGCAGGACTTTGAATCCTCGCGTTTCAGCACAGTGTCTGCGTCCCTGAGGAGAGAAACCTAATGGGTTCGAGATACGCGTCTCACCAGCTCAGCAATGGGCTGTTTGTGTCTGGTAGGCCGGAGCAACCCAAAGAAAAGCCTCCAACAATGAGCTCAGTAGCCATGCCGTACACAGGTGGTGACATCAAGAAATCAGGAGAATTGGGGAAGATGTTTGATATTCCGACAGATGGGACAAAGTCAAGGAAGTCTGGCCCGATCACTGGAGCTTCTTCAAGAAGCGGCGGGCAATCCGGTCCAGGCGCGCCTAATGCCACTGGTCGTATGTCTGGCTCTTTGGCTTCTGCTGGCTCGAATTCGATGAAGAAAACAAACTCGGGGCCTTTGTCTAAGCACGGTGAGCCTCTAAAGAAATCCTCTGGTCCACAATCTGGTGGTGTGACACGGCAAAACTCCGGCCCTATTCCTATACTCCCAACCACAGGTCTCATAACATCAGGGCCAATCACTTCGGGTCCTCTGAATTCATCTGGGGCTCCTAGGAAGATTTCTGGTCCTCTGGACTACTCTGGTTCGATGAAGACACATATGAGTTCCGTTGTCCACAACCAGGCGGTCACTACCCTTGGTCCGGAGGATGACTTTTCCTGCATGAAGAGCTTCCCCAAGCCTGTGCTGTGGCTGGTTATACTCATCTTTGTGATGGGGTTCCTTGCTGGAGGCTTCATTCTTGGAGCAGTTCACAATGCGATTCTCCTCATTGTTGTGGCGGTCTTGTTCACGGTTGTCGCTGCACTTTTCATTTGGAATCTCTCTTGTGAAAGACGTGGTATCACAGATTTCATTGCTCGTTATCCTGATGCTGATCTTAGAACTGCCAAAAACGGTCAATACGTGAAGGTCACTGGGGTAAGTATCTATGTACATCCCAGAAAGTACTCCTTTTGTGTGCCTTTACTCTTTGCCGCTGGTGGAGTTTGATTTCTGTCTCTACTATGTTTATGACATTGGTTCTTATGTTTTCTCTGTCGTGAAGGTGGTCACCTGTGGTAACGTGCCGCTTGAGTCATCATTCCATAGAGTTCCCAGATGTGTTTACACGTCTACTTGTCTCTATGAGTACTGTGGATGGGGTTCGAAGCCAGCCAATGCTTCACATCGCCGCTTTACATGGGGACTGAGATCAGCAGAGGTTAGATGATAACTTCGTTTCACAGAAAATGTTAAGTCTCCCAATGTGAAATGTCTCTAAACATTGCATCTACAATACATGGCGCAGAGGCATGTGGTAGACTTCTACATTTCTGATTTCCAGTCTGGGCTTAGAGCATTGGTCAAAACCGGAAACGGTGCAAAGGTAACGCCCATCGTCGATGACTCTGTTGTCATCGACTTTAAGCCAGGAAGCGAGCAAGCATCTCCAGATTTCGTAAGGTGGTTGGGTCAGAAGAATCTATCCAGTGATGATCGAGTAATGCGGCTTAAAGAAGGGTATGAAAACTCTACTTGTCGAAAAAGAGTGATTCAGAGAAACCTTAACGAGTTGCTAATGTGATAACTTTTCAGGTATATCAAAGAAGGAAGCACAGTAAGTGTCATTGGAGTGGTTCAGAGAAACGAAAACGTGCTGATGATAGTCCCAACGACAGAGCCATTAGCTGCTGGTTGGCAATGGAGTAAGTGCACGTTCCCTGCAAGTCTCGAAGGAATTGTGTTGAGATGCGAAGATTCATCGAACGTAGACGCAATTCCCGTCTAGTGCAGTTAGTAGTAAGTCTTTTCCTCTCCTTCCACGGCTGGTACTGGTAGACGAAAATCTCACTGTTTCACTTCGGCTTCATTAATATTTTTCATGAAATCTGAAATGTGTTCTTGGTTGGTGGCTTTTTCGCTCTCTACTCTACTGACGATGATGATTCCTTTGGTTGGTGGTTTTATGGTAGTGTTTTTTTTTTCTCTTTTTTTCAATTCTCTTACCTTTAATATTTCTTATTTTTTATATCGAGTTATTACATTAGGTTGATGATTATGATGGATGTGGGATGACTTTTCTATTGACTTAATTTGTGCTATGGTTTGTAATTGTAAAGCTCTTTTAGTTATTCTTTTTCGACCGAACTTGTGTCCTAATATAATGCCCTTATCTTTTTCGTTTGGTATATACTAGCAAAGCTATTTCTTCCAGAAAAAAAAAAAAAAAATCACCTCATCGCCCAAATAAAAATTTACGATCTGTTTAAAGTGCTTATCATCAACTCATGAATACTTAGCTTCATAAACTCAGAAAAATTATCAACAACCTATTGGACACAATAGAAAGGAGATCTTTTGATTCAAAGAAACTTTGACGAATTTCAAAATACGCGGGTAAACGAGTCGAGACCCTATTAGTAATGATACAATAATTCAGAGAGAGTTACAGCTTCCTGTGCCGAAACACACAATTTTATCATAATGAGGGGGAAGAACCAGCAATATGTATTAAGCTTTCTTATAACTTTGATGTTGAGATAGATTTCACCAAATGTAATGTTACTTGGATGAAAGAAATCTTTTCACCCTCCAATCACATCATGCGCCACTTGCGTAAAGACGGGTCCATTCCTTAGCTGCGCAGATAGTTCACAAGGATGATGTGAGATGCCAACAAAAAGGGTTTACAAAGAAAACAAGATTATAGTAAGTTTCATGGTTTCAACCACATCACCTGTCTCCACAGCTTCTACTTCATTACTCTTCCAATGCTTAGCGATGTTCTCAGACAACGGATCATCAGGGTTTGGTGCACTCAGAAGAGCTTGGATACTTTTTTTTTTAAGGACAGCAAATCAATAGAATAAGAAAACAGTCATGCCTCAATTTGTGGCAGGAGAGAATCTAATGTAATCAACTCATATACCTTAAGAGCACTGTTCGTATCTGTAGTGCAGGGCTCCATTTGTCCTTCAGGATATCGAGACAGATTCTTCCAAGCTGTACACGCAAATAGACTAAGTTTAGGAACATGTATTTGGTTTTATAAAATGGTAAAAGGAAAAACAGAAGGAAGGAGTTAGAGCAGACCTTATCAATGTTAGGATGGTATATCTTGGTGAGGAACCTAACCTGTTCCAAATCAAATAATTATAAGAGTCTCGCGAGTATTATAATTATAGAAAAAAATACAACTCTCTACACAACCAGAAGCACTGTTCTCGGAGATCATATGATGCATTTACAAATATCACAACAGATGAATTTACTTAATAACTAGGGGTCTTATAACTGGCCCTACTTATATTCAAGTCACTAACAGATGCGAAAAATGCATAACTTCATAACATGAACTTTTTTCTTCAAAGGAAACATAGAAACTCAAAACCAAGTAACTTACCTTGGGAGCTGCCATAGGGTATTCTTCGGGCAAAAAGAGCTCCAACTTGAAAACTCCTCCTAGAAAATGGAATGAGGTAAATGATTGGCATGATTCATAGGAGAAAGAAAAGTGTAAGTTTAACTCAGCATCTACTACGGAGCAGCACAAGGAAACGAATCGAATGTGGTGATAACAAAATCAAGTACAGTTGTACAAGCTCATAATTATCAACATCGCCATTCTCTCGCTATCTTCTAAATCCAACAATCAAAATAAGCAAACATCGCTCAACATAAACATTTTGTCACCCCAAAGCAACAAACAGCTACACGTGTGCACCCTTCCATAAGAACAGAATAAGTAGAAACCCCTTATTCCAAGGATAAACAATTACCTTCATAAGGTGATTGTGTAGGACCAAGAACCATAACGTTGAAATACCGCATGTTATCCTCAGATGGAGAGGCACTTATACCGGGAGCTGCAACAATCGATTGAGATGAAACTCTGTCAAAATCAGGTTTCAACTTGCTCTACATGCAAATTCAAACTCAATGAGAAGATCACATTTCGGATCCGCAATTCAACCATCAAAATTGATGTTTATCAGCTGAAATCAACACAAAATAACTCAAAAAGGCAGGAAGAATCATAGTATTCACCTGGTTCACTGAGCAGACGTTGAGTTTCCTATCAGATCACAATGACAATAAGAATTAGAGATAATACAAGGACAAGTATCGAAACAGAGATCAAAAATTCGGCCAGTTCTCGCTCAGCCACAGCTAGCTCTTGCTTCGTCGGAATCCAGATCAAAAATAAGCTCAAAGGAAAGAGATCGTTTAGAGATTCACCGAATGGGATCGAAACGAGATTGGAAAACGAACCTTGATGATTCTTCGGGGCAGATTACTGTTGGCCATATCTCGCGCTCCCTAATTCGATCGATCAGATTCAGAGTTAGGGTTTTTGAGAGAGCAAGAGAAGATTCACACGACGATAATCGAGAACACCTCTCGTTCGTCTGTCGAATCTGACGTGCTCCTCGATGATTTAATTCGGTTTCCTTTCTCTCTACCTTTAGAATTTCTCCACTGGAAAATGTAATAAAAATAATAGATAATAGTTCTAGTTTATTACGTAATCTCCCGGAACGTTTGTCTATTTATTACTGGCCCCTAAAGTTTTATCTATTTATCTAATTTCCCTATATTGTTCATAATTACGTGATAAACCCTTAAAACCGAAATTCCACTCCCTAGCAACACCCAATAAATGGCAGCCGAGCCAAGCAGCTGATCTGAATAGAAATGAAAACCATGAAAGCCCATTCAATTCTAGGCCCATATATTTATGTAAGAACCAGGCCCAACAATGAGTAGTAATGATTAAATATGGTTACAAGTTGGCAAACATGGACCATGGAATAAATTTAATCGAGCCGTCGAGTAAGACCTGTCTTGCGGTTGCGGGGCCCCGCACGCTGAAAGCCGCCCGGGTATTGGGACACACATGAACAGCAGAGATCAGATCTAAGAGAGATTTCTCTATCCATTTGTCCGTTTATTTTCGTAAAGCACCTTCAACCTTTTTTTAATTAACAAAGTGCTTAAAATTATGAACGAATCATTATTTTGACAAGGATGGCTAATCTCAAATTGATTGTATTTGAATCATCGTATGCGACGATAATAATCGACCATGAGCATCTTCTCGGTGGCTCACAGTTAGAAAGTAGTTGGTCGGTCCCACCCCAAATGCGCGATTACTATCCTCGAATTAATTTAAGTAATGTTGTTGTAGTGCAAGAAAATATAATTAGAGACCTTTCGCAGGAAATATATAAAGTATATAATTGAAAACCGACAAAAGAACATTTAAATACTAACTCGCTTTTATAAAATTATACTGTATGTCATATTACACCGAATAGAATCGATATACTAATATGATGTTGTCTGATGAAATTTTTTTTTTAACATACAAAAGGATAGTAGATATATATGATACCATCCCCCCTAAAAATACAGTTTTATTTTCTCTTCTTTTAGTAAACGTTTTTTTTACGAAGAGCTTCGATATTAACTATCCTTGTGTATGTTAAAGAAAAAAAATCATCACACAATATCTTAAACTCATGATTAAACATGCACCTTAGCGCGGATCTTGTTCAATTCGGTCTCGTTCTCAATCGCTGACTGTTTGTTAGCTAATCGTGCACGTGTTTGCATTGATGCTAAGATAAGCTATCTAAAATGTTCGACACAAAACCAGCAAAATCAATAGATTACAGCAAAACAAAGACCAAAAAAGTCGTCCCAAATACTCTTTGAATATTGTATGTAAAATCAATCAAACAAAGACTTTTTGGCTCCTATAAATACAAGCTCGCCATGTATACACAAAACACACCAAAATCCATCAAAAACAACTTATAAAAAATATGGAATTCTCAGTCACAATAGCTCTATGCTCCACTCTCTTTGTTTTCTTGATCGGAGCACAAGCCAAAGTCCCCGTAGATGAGCAATTCCTAGTGGTCAACCAAGGAGGCTACACCGATTACAGTCCGATCGAATATAATCCCGACGTACGTGGATTCCAACCTTTCAGCGACAACTTCCGTCTCTGTTTCTACAACACAACCCCAAACGCGTACACTCTCGCTCTCAGAATCGGAAACAGAGCTCAAGAATCCACTCTCCGTTGGGTCTGGGAAGCCAACAGAGGCTCACCGGTCAAAGAAAACGCTACGTTGACTTTCGGAGAAGACGGAAACCTCGTGCTCGCCGAAGCCGATGGTCGCTTGGTGTGGCAAACAAACACGGCTAACAAAGGTGCCGTGGGGATCAAAATCTTGGAGAATGGCAATATGGTAATTTACGACTCCAACGGTAAATTCGTATGGCAGAGCTTTGATTCTCCGACCGACACGCTTCTCGTCGGACAATCACTAAAGCTCAACGGTCGGAACAAGCTCGTTAGCAGACGGTCACCATCGGTCAACACAAACGGACCGTACAGTCTCGTGATGGAAGCCAAGAAGCTGGTTTTGTACTACACGACAAACAAAACTCCGAAACCAATCGCTTACTACGAATACGAAATTTTCAGCAAGATCACTCAATTACAGTCTATGACGTTCCAAGCCGTGGAAGATTCCGACACCACGTGGGGTCTACACATGGAAGGTGTCGACTCTGGTTCTAAATTCAACGTTTCATCGTTCCTCTCAAGGCCAAAACACAACGCGACGTTGAGTTTTATTCGGTTAGAATCAGACGGAAATGTTAGAGTTTGGACGTATAGCACGGCCGCGACTGCGACGGCTTGGGATGTGACGTACACGGCATTTACGAACGCCGACACTGACGGTAACGACGAGTGTAGAATCCCTGAGCATTGTTTGGACTTTGGTTTGTGTAAGAAGGGTCAGTGTAACGCTTGTCCCAGCGACAAAGGGCTTCTTGGTTGGGACGAGACTTGTAAGACTCCGAGTCTCGCAAGCTGCGATCCCAAGACGTTTCATTATTTCAAGATCGAAGGAGCTGACAGTTTCATGACTAAGTATAACGGTGGCTCGTCGGCGACGGAGAAAGCATGTGGGGACAAGTGTACGAGAGATTGTAAGTGTTTAGGGTTTTTCTACAATAGGAAGACTTCAAAGTGCTGGTTGGGTTACGAGCTCAAGACATTGACTAGAACCGGAGATTCTTCGCTGGTTGCTTACGTCAAGGCTCCTAATGCCAACAAGAAGTCAGTTCTTTGAGTTGTGAAAGCCATATGAAATTATCATGCTGTGTTTTAATAAGGTAAACTTAAAAAAAAAAAAAAAACGGTGTACTGGTTCTCAAGCTACATCGTAAATAAAGTAAAGTTGCTAAAATTTATGAATCAAATGCAGATTGTATATTTAAAATTAATTGATGCTTTATTGTCAGTAACGCACAAGAGCCCACGTGCACGCGATACATTATTTCGCATGTCAAACAATTATGGAATTGAAAAATAACGTTTAAATTTTTTACGTAGCCAAAACTCAAAACTGTAAAAGTCCAAGAAGAGGGTATATAATATTGGCGAATTTGCATTTTAAAAAAAGAATTAAGATGCGTGCTACGATGCTTCGACGCCGCGTCACCTTATTAGACCAGGTTCAATACAAGTTTTTAACTATAGTATCTTAACAACATAAATTAATAAACTAATAAAAAGTAAGAAAAATAATGAAGAATCAACTCTTAAATTTCTTATTTAATAAACAAATCTAAATCTTTAAAAAACTCATTTAATATGTGGTGTTTTATGATTAATTTAGATATTTTCATGATTTAAAAACTAATATATTTTTTTTGTAAGATACCTTCTAAGATTTTTTTCCATTGCACATGCTCTTAGATGGTAATGTTTTAAGAGGAAAAAACATATAACTTTTATAGACCCGTCTATTCTTTATAATGATGCCAATTGCAACTTCGTGTTGCTTAACTTGCTTTAGCCTTTAGTTGATAGCTTTTGGATAAAAATAAGTCAACTTGCAACCTGCCAGGTGGAAGGTACCCTTTAAATGATTATATCCATCAAAAGCAAATGCAATTGATTGCATGAAAACAAATGTATTAGTAGTATATAATAGAAACTTAATGATGATTAAGGTATGAACCGAGCCAACGATAACCATAAGTATAGGTAGGTGCAGTTGATTGGGCCTATTTGAGACCTATATGTTCCTTCTTCTTTTTTTGGAACTCAAACCCAAGAAAAGAGAAATTTATAAACGAACAAACCTCTTACGCGACCCAATTTATGTTCCCTCGTAGGCTCGTAGCCGTTAGGGCACCGCAGAAGGTTTAGTCGTCTCAAGGGGGACGGTGAATCAAAGGGTCATATCTTTTTGCTGTCGATGTTTCTTACTTTTTTTCAGAAAGCCTAGCGATCTCAAATTTGACTAGGCTAGTCATGATTTCTTGTGAGACGAGCACGCTATACGTCTGGATTTGATGCTGTTAAAATGATGAACTATTGGCCAATTTAGCTGCCGTTGCAGATTTATACGTGTGAGGCAATGATACACTTGAGACTAGACTATATAGATATGTATTCTTGTGTTGTAATCAACTTGTCGTAAAACATTCATACGTGTGTGACAATGGATACGTGTACTTACCTGGCCACTCGTATCTTATTCATGACAGATACGCAACTTAAATGTTCGATTACAAATTGTGATAACAACACAATCATGTGCTTTCTTTTTTTTTTCAAATCAAAACCCACAGCTTTGATACTTTTTTCAAGTCAAAACCACAAATCCAGGTCATATACGACGGTATGTGATGGTTTTTTTTTTTTTTTGATCAAGGAAATGTGTATTATATAAGACGGGATCTCATAAAAGGTTATGAAAAACACAATCTATCATATACAGTAATTGTGACAAAAATACATTATAATGATATTCAAAAAACTGTACTATTGTCTTTGAAGAATATTTCAAAGTTGAAAATCTGCTCTGGGAAAACCTTAGCCAGATTTAAAAAAAAAAAAAAATCAATTACAGATAATTAGTATAATAAACCCAAAATGATGATGATTCTTAGTGGTCAAGATTGCCGACAGTACAAACCCAATAATTTTGGTAACGTTGATATATTTGTCAGCATTTATTGTAGATGTGTCTGATATATGCGACGGACAGATCTAAAAGCATCAGAGAAGCGGAAAATGGCGCGTACTTACAAAATGCAACCATCACAATCAGACTCGCAGTACAATTTTGATGTTTTTTTTCTCTTTATTAACAGATTCTACCATTTAACTCAGTATTTTTCCTAATAGTTTTGGTCTTCGACATTTGCTTATAGCTGACGTAAATTTAGCATTATCTACGCAGTTCAGTTTTTGTCTTCTTCTTTTTTTCATCTGTCAAAAAGAACAGTTCACATTTATCTTTATCTGAACAGTTTCATGATATTTATTAACATACAAAATAGGATTAGAAGGAATATTAAGAAAATTTTCAGTGGACAAACCTTATCCAAATTATAAATCAGCCGTCGCCAAGTTGTACAGCACAAATTTCACTGTTACGTATATAGTCAAGTCGCAATATGCAACTTTGACTTTTCAAACGAATACAGCCAATGGCGCAACGTAAAGAACTTGTATATATACACACCCGCGAATCCATCGTTTTACAAAATCATCACACAAAGACAAATCAATCATGCTTCGTTTCGTAATCCTAGCACTCGCCATTGCCACTGCTTCGGTGGTTACAGCCCAAGTCCCTCCTGAGAAACAATTCAGAGTCGTCAACGAAGGCGAGTTCGGCCAATACATCACCGAGTACGACGCGAGTTACCGCTTCATCAGCTCACCCAACGCGAGCTTCTTCCGATTCCCGTTCCAGCTGTTGTTTTACAATACTACCCCTGGCGCCTACGTCTTGGCTCTCCGAGTCGGACTCAGGCGCGACGAGTCGCTCATGCGCTGGATATGGGACGCAAACCGC